AAATAGGTCAAGGTGGGCGGATCACCTGAAGTCAAGAGTTCGAGACCAGCCTGGCCAACATGAGGAAACCTCGTCTCTACTGAAAATACAAAAATTAGCCAGGCATGGTGGCAGGCGCCTGTAATCCCAGCTACTTGGGAGGCTGAGGCAGGAGAATCACTTGAACCTGGGAGGTCGAGGTTGCAGTGAACTGAGATTGCGCCATTGCACTCTAGCCTGGGCGCCAGAGTGAAACTCCATCTTAAAAAAATAATAATAAATAAAATAAAATAGGCTGGGCCCAGTGGCTCATGCTTATAATCCCAGTAGTCTGAGAGCCCAAGGCCAGGTGATCGCTTGAGCCCAGGAGTTCAAGAGCAGCCTGGGCAATATAGAAAGACTCTGTCTCTACAAAAAATTTTTTTTAAAAATTAGCCAGATGTGGTGGTGACCCTGTAGCTACTTGGGATACTGAGGCAGGAAGATTGCTTGAGCCTGGAAGATCAAGGCTGCAGTGAGCCGTGATTGCGCCACTACAATCCAGCCTAGGCAACAGTGAGACCCTACCTCAAGATAAATAAGTAATAAACAGTTGTAAAACAAAGTGATTTGGTCTATATCCCTCACTCAACCTTGATCAGTAAAAGAGATGCCAAGAGGCAGGCTAGAAAGGCTTGCAGGGAGAAGCCAAGCTCAGCAAAGACGTAAGCATGAGATGTCCTGTGACTACACAGCAACAGTGCAGAGAAATAAGAAATGACCACTCAGGGCATTCCAAAGTGTGATACTGACTCAAGGGGCAGAGAAAGTCAACTCTGTACAAGGTGCTTAGTCAATCTAAGCATACAAGAAATTTAGGCCTTCCTCCGTAATAAAATAAAATAAAATAAAAAATAAAACACTATTGATTTGTTACTATAACAAAAATAAGAAAAATCTCTTAAATGGGTTCTAAGGATCTATAGCTATTTAACATATTTTGTCAATATAAATGTATATATTTTCTTATATTGGAAAGGCTTAAAATGTCTGAAAAGAAGTAAAATCATATGCTTATTATAAAAATCTATCAGATGGCACTAGCACTGTGCAGTATTACATCCTTCTGTCCCCTCACCCGTCCCCTTTTACAGAGAACACTCCAAGGTTCGGAGCCATAGAGTGTACCCGAAGGCCACAGCACAAGTGGTAGAACTGGTTTCTAACCTGGGTCCAACCCATTCCAGAGGAGGTTTGACAGAACCAACTACAGCTGAGACAAGCAGAGCTAACCACTGCAAACTCCTCTTTTAAAAATCAGCCAAGAGTGGAGAACAGAGTCTTGGATGAGATAGCCTCATATAATAAGTTCTTTCTGTTTCAAATTTTCCTGTGATTCTTCTGTACACATATGAATACACCCATGTATGAATACACCCACGTATGAATACACCCATGTATGAATACACCCAGGACCACAGGGTCCTTCAATTTCATGTACATGTCACAGATGGCAATCAGCCTTCTCCAGCTGTGAAGTCTTCTGAGTAAATAATGCATTGTGTAACCTGTGATTTTTCTAAATGGAAATACCTACACTTCAAGATGGTTTAAATTAAGATGCAAGTTGTTATGCTTAAAATTTGTCTTAAGGCTGACATCATCAACTTTTTCTTACTCCTTTCATTATTTCTCATTTAGAAGTTTTGAAAAGCATTACTTTTAAACTTCTTGTTGGTGATTTGCATCTAGGTCCTTCAATTCTGAGTATAAATGATAAAGATGTGGGGAGTTGGGGAGAGATAGCATGGGGAGAAATGCCAGATACAGGTGATGGGGAGGAAGGCAGCAAATCACACTGCCATGTGTGTACCTATGCAACAATCTTGCTTGTTCTTCACATATACCCCAAAACCTAAAATGCAAGTAGAGAATGTCCTCAAAGCTCTACCATCTGAGCAAGTAGAATAAAAGAAAGATTAAGGTTAGGTGATAAGGAAGGGTGTTCTTTTATATGCATGCTTCATTCCTCATTGCAGTATTTCAGATGCCCCTTTTAAACACAAAAGTTGAGCACAAAAGGTGTAGCTTCCTTAGTGACCAGGCCTAGACCCAGACCCAATCTTCCCGGTCCCTTCTCTGGCAGGCCTCAGGGAGTTCACACACTTTCTTGTGAGTTTAAAGCCTCGGTACCCCCCATCCCCTGCCTTGAGATTGCCCTGCTTGAAAGCAGTGCCGTTGTAAGATCATACAGCTTCCTCAGAGGCTTTGGTAGTTCTCTTAAGAGGCAAGAGAAATTGCAAAATGGGAAGTGACCACATTTTTTAAAATTCTAGAAAGTTCATTGAGCCATTACTGCTGATGCATTATTTACTAGCAGTAACTCAGTCCAGTAGGGCCAGCAAGTGCCTGGGATGCTTATTTTCCATCCTGACTACTGACAGGGTCAGTCTGATTTGTCTGCCCAGCATCACCTTTCTTCCCAGATTCCCATGAGTTCCCCCTCAACTTCCATGAGTGGAAGTCAGCCCCAGACACAGGTGAAGTGCATACTGCATATTTTCATAACGCCATTCTGATGGACCAGAAGAAGGTCAGACTAAGTGAATGAGAAGCCTCCATTCTGAAATTCACTAAAAAGAAACAAACTTATTCCCTTTAAGCATTTAGGAAGCTCGAGCAACTAAAAGCAAGCTTGCTATTTATTAATTTCAACTGCTGACCCACTTGAAAAAATCATTGAGAATACGTATGGTAGGAAACTTGCACTCTTAGCAAACGACCACTATGAGTTTGCAGGAAACAGAGACACAGCACCTGAAAGAAAAAAGACTAGTCTTGAGTGCTACTACAAGGTAAGGGCCAAACAGAAGAGAATGTGTTATTCTAAACTCTTCACAATCTCAACTTTTAGCACCATTCAAACTCTCTCTGGGGTTCAGTCCATTTCTGAACATTTGCCCTGATTTTCATCACCAACTTCGTTCTAACCTTCATGGTTTCTTCAGGCAATGCTTCTGAAAGGAACTTAAATCCTCATTTGTCACTTTGGGAGGCCAAGGCAGGAGGTTCCCTAGAGCCCAGGAGTTCAAGACTGCAGTGAGCCATGATGGTGCCACTGCAGTCCAGCCTGAGTGACACGGTGAGACCCTGTCTCAAAAAATTTAAAAAAAAAAAATCAGCATTTGTAATAAAGAAAATTTGGGTTACAAAGCTTGTGAAATTAAAACTGTGTCATCTTAAAAGAATTAGCTCAAGGTAAATTTAATAGGTGAAATACTTCATTAGTCAAGTTTGTGGGAATGTAATCAGAAATGGAAGGCTGCATGGAAGTGTGTGTTGCAGAGGAAATATGCTAAACCAAAACACACTTGTCTTAATGCTATTTTTGCCACTTCGGATGTTGATCTTATTCCTAAATCTTAACTTCTCCAGTGGCAGCAAAGATTGCAGATGCATAGTTTTTATGCCTTTCATAGACACAACGAGCTAGTTAATTTCTACTTCTTTGCAGTCGAAGAGTCTGACTCTGTCCTATAAGCAAGGATATAGAATCTCCTGGGACTATCATAAACCAGCACTAGCAGTTTAGATACAGCAGAAAATGTACAGCAGCAAACTGTTTTTCTATCTGTAAATGACAGAATTTAGAATATTTCTACAGGGTCCAAATTACCCTTTATAGGTTCTGATTTTTATATTTCATGACAGCAAGGCAGGTGCCCTTAAACCAGGTTAAACATTTTTGCTTTGTCAGCCAAATTTCTCAAGCTCTTACCAAAACTGAAAAGATCTGAAGTTGCTTCTAATGTCATATTTTTGGAAAACCAATTAGCATTCACTAAATGAAAAATCAACTCATTAAGGTGTATGTTTTTTGCTTTAATCACAGTATTTAATTAGCACATAGAAAAGGAATTATACAATCTTATGTTAAGAAGAGCAAGCATTTTCCATCCCTCTGTGTAAAAAGAGTGCCAAAAATGTCACAGAGGTGACTCCTGCATGGGGAAAGGCAGGATTAGATTAGGGACTGATGAACTATAGCCTTCTGGCCAAATCCTGCTCACTGCCTGCTTTTGTACAGCACTGGGGCTTACAATGGCTTTTACATTTTGAAGTGTTTTGGGGAAAAAAATGGAAGATTTTGTGACATGCCAAAATCATCTGAAATTTGAATTTTTAACGAAGGTTTTACGAGCATGTAGACTTGCTCATTTGTTTATGTATTACCTATGGCTGCTTCTGTGCTGCTACTGCAGAGCTGAATATCTGCTAGATACCACATGGCTGGCAAAACCTAAAATATTTACTCTCAGGATATTTTTTTTTAATTTTTTTTGGAGAGAGGTTTTCACTCTGTCACCCAGGCTGGAATGTAGTAGTGAAATCATAGTGCACTGCAGCCTCAAACTCCTGAGCTTGCAAGTGATCCTCCTGCCTCAATCTCTCAAATCACTGATATTACCAAGTATACCACCACTCCCAGCTAATTCTTGAATTTTTTTCTTTTTTTGTAGAGATGGGGTCTCACTATGTTGCCCAGGCTGGTCTGGAACTCCTGGCCTCCAGCAATCCTCCCACCTCGGCCTCCCAAAGTGCTGACATTACAGTAAGCCACTGAGCCCAGCCAGTCTGTGGATTTTTATTAAAAAAAGTTTGCCAGTCTTTAGGCTGGGTGATATCTGAGGTCCCTTTTAACTCCAAAGTTCTAGGAATTTCACTTTCTGAGGTAAGCAGGAATTCGCCATCAAAGACAAGGTAGGGAAAGTCCATTAGCTTCATAATATGATTCCAAAAAAACCTGTTTCTTTTGTGTTGACAACATTTCCCAGGAAACCTGTAAAATGACACTCACTGACTGACTCATGGAACATTCACAGAAGTTTCCCAGATATTGATTACTTTGAAAAGTAGGCTCTTGGTTCTAGAAAGCAATATTCGTAATTTTGAGAAATCTTATTCTATTAACAGGTTGACCAGGCAATGAAAAATTACCAAGTATGATGAAAATGAAAAAGAAAACCCAACTCCCCTAAAAATTCACATCATAAAATATTTATTAATAAGTAAAATGATTTTCCCCTGCCTTTGGTTATTTAAAAAATGAGTATCTTTGATGATACCAATTGCAAACAATGGTTTTACATTATTCAGTCATGAAAGAGACAGACTAGATGATAGATATTTATAGATATAAATGCGTAGAAGACCATACCACACAATAATTTGTTTAATTACAAACCTTGGCTTTGCTAGCAGTTGGAAATTTACTTGCACATCCTTAAAGTTACCTTTTTTATAAGTAAACAATACACAAATAAATTCGCTTGAATTTGATAATTTGTAACACTGGCAATGAATACAGCACCTGTTGAGGCCCGAAAGAGAGAGGAAAACAAGAACTGTGTGGGAGAAGAAAGGCAATACTACTTTGAAAAGCTTTTCTCCTGACTTAATAATCTCTACTGCCTGAAAAATAAGCCATTTTGATAACAAGAGTATAAAAAACCTTATGATCTACAAAGTAAATCATATCTGTGGGTTAAATTTCATCCCATGTCTCAGGTTACGGCTGAGAAGCTATACTAAGTAACTTTGTAACACATTTCTTTGAATTTTTATAACTAAAACAAGAAAATGTTTTATCAGATCTAGGCAGAAATACTGACCTTCATTTACAACTATAGTAATTACTCGCACTCAGGACTATATAGACATGGGGATCTGAAAACCAAACAGAAGGAAATGCCAAGCCATAACCACAAGGCAAAATTAAAAGCAACTCAGAGAAGCAGTGGGTGATAATTTATGATTTCAACATAAAAAAGAACGCATTACCTCTCAGATGTCACCTTAAAGCCAGAAAATTAAGATACAATCAAGAAGGGATGAATAGTTTTATTACTACACCACCTACTACTTCAAGATTAAAATAATCCCAGAGTTCTGAAATGTCTTCATTAGTTAAGTAACTATACAATTCATTTCAGTCTTTTTTTAATGTAGAAAATCACTTTGTAGTAAGATCTCTACACAAGGTAAAAAAGGACAAAATAGGCCCGAAAAAGCACAAAAATAGACAAAATATATATATCTTTTTACAATGAAATTAAGGTGTACCTGTGGAATACCGAGACTGGACTGATTTCACAAGGTTTAAACAGGTTTTCTTTTAGAATAGTCCTGTAATTTGTGTCTTCCCCTTAATCTTGTATGCATTTAAAAAAAAAAAAAAAAAAAAAAAGCTCAGGCCAGGTGCGGTGGCTCACGCCTGTAATCCCAGCACTTTGGGAGGCCAAGACAGGCAGATTGCTTGAGGTCAGGAGTATGAGACCAGCCTGGCCAACATGGTGAAATTCCATCTCTACAAAAAATACAAAAATTAGTCAGGTGTGGTGGCAGGCACCTGTAATCCCAGCTACTTGGGAGCCTGAGACAGGAGAATCGCTTAAATCTGGGAGGCTGAGGTTGCAGTGAGCCAAGATCGCACCACTGTACTCCAGACTGGGCAACAGAGCAAGGCCCTGTCTTTAAAAAACAACAAAAAAAAGGCCCAGGTAAAAGGGAAATAACAGGTATTTTGATCTTGTGCAGTCAACAACAAAAAAGAAATAATAATAATAACATAACAAAAACCCTTAATTTATCAGTTTATAAAATTCCTTCGCCAACCATACCTCAAGGGCACTTAGGACTCAAGCATTTGTTACACACTCATCAGCAACATCACTGGCCAGCTGAGGCCGGTTTTCCATGATAAATCAATGACACCCCGGATGAAACATATCCAGAAATGCTAATTCGGAGATATCTTCCTACAGTTTGGGGGCAAATGAAGCCATCCAAAGGAATCGTGCCATAAACATGACCGACACGTGCAGACTTCTGCCTCGAGAATCCACCCCTGCCTTCCTCTCCATCCAGTAAAGGAACCTGCCAGTGACTCTCGGTTATACAGTCACCGCTGGGTACATCTTCTGTTCACTGTTGGTGTGGGGGAAGGGGGACTGAATCTGCCTGTAGCCAGGCTGCAGCCCGTCCATGAAAGGGGGCACAGCTGTCACAGGCACAGAGTCATGCTGCACTGTGTACCCCACGTATGGGGGATGCAGATACTGCCCTTGATGTGGCACAATCTGGGTGGCCTGCTGACAGTTCAGCACAGAGAAATTCGTGGGCATGTTGACATACACGTTGTTCATGGTCCCCTCTGGCAAGCAACAGTTGGTCTGTGACCTTGTAGGGGGCGCCCGGGCCCCTGAGTTGGCGCTGGAGCTGGAACTGGCGGCTGTGCTGGACTGGCGTGAGGACGATCCCCGGGAGGTGCTGGCGCTGGGGATCATGGGGATGGTCTCCATCAAGCGGTTACCCCCCGGGGCTCGGCTCTGCTGGGGATCCTGCTTAGGCCGGAGACATCTGCAGCAACAGGCTGCCACCAGGGACCCCAAGATGATAAAGGCGACAAACACGGAGCCCACAATGAGGAACGGCACGTAGATGGGCACTGAAGCAAAAGACAGAAACACAACATTATGATTTACTCCAGGAATGCAGTACGAATCGCCAACTGGCAGTGGCAATGAATGAATGGGCAACACTGATACCCAGATCAGAAGGACCTACCCTGGGCTAATTTGTTCACATATTAGGAGCCCGTAAGATGTACCATCCTTAATCAAGTGCTTAGAAAGCTCCTAAGACTCTATAGCCATGGCAGGTCAGCCCCTAGAAGCAAACTGTTAATATTTAGTTCGACTCATCAACTGCAAGGCTGATTGAAGCAGATATCCAAATTAGCAAAAACATGGGTTTAATAGGTTAAGATGGTTATGGTTCTAAATTTCCTAACATAATCAAACTGTCCAAACTTAAGTCTGCCGTACCATATAGTTGTAGGATCTTCATAGTAATAATGACTTTAACTTATTTAAAAGTCTTTTTTCCCCAGAAAGTTATTTAAGTTCCTTGCAAATTTCTTTTTACCATTCTTTAGCAAGTTCTTTTTTCAGAGGCAGTTAAGTTAAAAATTCAGGCCAGACTCTTAAGTCGCTACCATTTTCAAAAGGCATCTGTAAGGCACAAGAGGGTTAAGGAGGGATTTAAAAAAGACCCTCCTCACTCTTGCCTAGCAAAAGCCAGGGTCCTTGGGTGGCACTGCATCCAGATGACAGGGTCTGTGTAGGAGTGGAGGGAAGTTATTCTAGGCGTTGGGCCATCCTGAAACAATGTCCTAAGAGCAAACATCAGGAACAACAAGATGTATATTCCAGGAAGAATAGTCACCCACAGCGAGCCAAGAAGGCAAGAGTGCACAGAGCATAAAACAATGGCCACCATACTTTACATGTGAAGCTGACTTGAAAACAGAAAACCATAAAAAATAAAAACACAAAACTTTTGCGAAAACCACTAGCAAACTCCACTTTAAGATTAGTTTCTGGTGGGGTGCCGTGGCTCACACCTGTAATCCCAGCACTTTGGGAGGCCAAGGAGGCTGGATCAACTGAGGTCAGGAGTTTGAGACCAGCTTAGCCAACATGGTGAAACCCCATCTCTACTAAAAACATGAAAGTCAGCTGGATGTGGTGGCATGTGCCTGTAATCCCAGCTATTCTGGAAGCTGAGGCAGGAGAATCACTTGAACCCAGGAGTTGGAGGCTGCCGTCAGCTGAGATTGTGTCACTGCACTCCAGCCTGGGTGACAGAGTAAGATTCCATCTCAAATAGATAAATAAATAAATAAAAATTCCTTTCTAAAAAAAAAATCTTTCAGGAGCCATAAGGATGGCATTCCAAGGCTTTAGAAACTAGACACAGGTTGATAGGGGCAGAATCGGGTGGGAAGTGCCTGCAGAATGCCTCTGAGCCACTTTTGTGGAATTCTACCCTATGTTACCAAGAGCCTGCGTTTTCTGATGTGTTCTTGCCCGATCCCCCTGCCTATACTTTTGGAAATACATGAGGACAGGGACGGATTGGGTCTTACTGGTCTGGGCAAAACACAATGCCAACACAGTCAGGTGGGGCAGCATTTTAGAAAGGAGCCCACGCCTTTGAGGTCAGCTCTATGAATACCCTTTGATCATCTATTAGAGCAGCAGGGCTTTCTAATTACACTCCTTTTGACTGTTCTTGTATTCCTGGAGTCAGTGTTTTTAAAATATAATACCAGGCGGAATTATGGAGAAATAATGCCTTATAAGTAAAACAATACTTTATAGGTTTTTAACCAAAGGCTGACTATGGAAGGTTTCCTGGAGTTTCAATGCTGAACAGAGCAATTTCTATATATAGCGCCCCTTTAGCAGGTAGAAACACTTGCTACAGTGTCTGCAGCACAGCTGGTGCCCGGCAGTAGAACTGCTCTAATTACATTATCACTTCAGGCTAACTATGGATCACTGCAGAAGTGGATGCAGGGCTTTTTCCTTGGTGTGTTATAAATATTTCATTCTCTAAGACACCAGCCCTAAATATGTTATCACAAAATAAATAAATAATAGTAAAACAGGAAAAAAATTTACCCCAATCATAGCAGAAACTAGCTGAAACCAGCCTCAGTCCACATAATGAGTTTTGGGGAGAAATAAGTGTTCTCTTTCCAGGATTTTTAATTGGAAGTGTAAATAACTACACAGGGGGAAGGAATGCAGCGCTACTATAAGCCCCCGGCCGGCTTAATTAGACATGTTGTCCTTCACTGCAGAAGAAAAAGGAAGAAGTATAACTTTTAGGGGAAAAAAAAGTTTAAAAGTAGCATGAAGAAGACACCCACTCACAACACAAGGCGTCATGAGAGGTCTGTATCCCGACTAGTCCAAAGCCATCCCAACTTTCTGGAGACCGTTAATGAGCCCAATTGAGCAGACATCTCACTGCAGCGGTTCGGGCTCTGGCTGGCTTCTCTAGGCTTTCTTCCACGGCCACACAGTCTGCGAGGCTGAGCTTGCGTTTTAAGACTGCACTGGTCTGGAATTACGCTGTCTTCAGATTCAAGACAGCAGAACAATAGGAGTAGCAGGCTAATAAAATGCTTGACTGCAAAAGGGAACGGCACTGAAAAGAGCTGTCTCTCACCAGGTCCTGGGAGTCAGTTCTGTAAACACAAACCACGCTGTGCCAAAGCTCAGGCTGCCCAAACCCAGCCTCCGGGTGCTAGCTAAAAGTCTCCCAGGTGAACACAACCGGCCCACAAAAAGGAGGAGCCGCTCCCTCGGGGGCACGTTTGCCATTTTACCTCTACACCTCTTCTTCCCCAAACTAAATACACACACACACACACACACACACACACACACACACACACAGGCATACACACACAAACGCGCGCGCGCACACACACGGAGTGGCTGGTGTAGACACCCCAGGGAGGCATTCCGGAAGGTTTCTGGAGAGTGGAGAAGTGCAACCTACCAAATTCTTTCACAGGTTTACTTTCCAACTCTGGCTTTGGCAATATGAAACAAAAAAAACCCAAAAATCCCAAAGCCTCAAAGAGCAAGGCTGGGCACTGCTCTGATGTTGCACCAAGTCTGACGTGGTAAGGAAAACAGTCCAGAAACCCCAGAGGGGCCGCTGCGTGGAGAAGGTGGGAATCCGCGGTGCCTGGCACAGGGCAGCAGCCTGGGGCAAGCCCTGAGGAGCTGCCTTTCTTTCGGGGAGGCTTCAGGGAAGCACCCCTGCCAGGCCCTCACGGGAGGGGGCGCATCCTCACTGTCCCCTCGCGTACCCCTAAGACATTAAGCCCTACGGAGACAGGAGACGCCAGAGGGGCCCGGAGGACCCTGGTCAGGAGGAATATGGGGCTATGACCCACGATACTTTAGGAGTGTGATTTTCTTCGGAAAATTCACTCTAAGCCACCCTTTGGCTGGCAGATGGAGAAACTGAGGCCCGTGGGGTGACATTGGTGACCCACTGCGACCAAGTAATAAGCTAAAATGCAGACTGCCTCCTGATCCTAGGCCCTTTCCTGAATCTCGCCCTTCGAAGCTCCCAGGTCCCTGACGTCCAGGCCACGCCAACCGTCCTCCCCTTTCGCGGGGGGCCCCGGCCGCCCTACCTGCCGAGCCGTCGGGGCCGTCTTTGTC